TAAATTAGTGATGTATAAATCTATACTTGAAATATGATGGACAATTATGATAACATTTGACTTCTTCATGCTTCAAAATATTATTAGAAGAGTAAAATGAGTTTAGGGTTCAAGTATTTGGTATTGTCAGTAAAATGGTAAATGCTGTTTTTGTTATCTTCATTATTGTCATAGTAGCAGGGTAAGGAGTGATACTGGTACTTGGGCTTGTATTCATGTAGTGGCAGTAACATTTGGAATTGGACAAAGTCTGGGTCCAAGTTCTTGGTTTATTACTTACTGAAATTTTACTGTAAAATATCACTGATACGCAGTTTCTTCATTTATAAAAATGGGAGTAAAAAATGATTTGATCTACATAATGGTCATAAAAAGTCAATGTAAAAGAACTCGATATATTAGAAATTCTTTGCATATGTTGACTTTTATTATTATTGTTTTAAATTATATGTAAACAGAGGCTTTGTCTTTACTTTTTATATTCTTGTCTTTAGCTTAATGACGTTCATTGGGAATGCTCTAAATCTAATTATATTCATTAACCTTTTTTATAGTTGTCAGTGGCCTTTAAAATCAACTAATGTATTCTAGACATTGTCCAGATTAGAAAAATCATCCAGAAAGGATGTTAAAACCTTGCCCGAAGTGGCACTCCTTGTTTGTGACTAAGCGGGACCTCATCTCGACTAAATTTTTAGTGTTCTCCAATTCCTTCACTAGCGTTATGGAATTCATTTCTTTAATACCAAATAGCCAAAGCAGGTCTCACAGGATATTAGGAAATGTTCTATGTAAGAGGGTTTTAGAATCTAATAAACATACAAAATTCTAGATTAAACGAAATTATCAAACTTTTTATTTTTTTAAATTGTTTTGTAATGTTTATTTACATTTGAGAGAGAGGCAGTGTGTGAGTTGGGGCCGGGGGGGGGGGGGGGGGGGGGGGGGGGGGGGGGGGGGGGGAGCAGAGAGAGACAGAGACAGAATCTGAAGCAGCCTCCAGGTCTGAGTTGTCAGCACAGAGTCCAATGCGAGGGTCGAACTCACGAACCACAAAATCATGATCTGAGCCGAAGTCAGACACTTAACCAACTGAGCCACACAGGCGCCACAACAAACTTTTTAAAAGTTGAATCACATACATTCTCAAATATGTTAGACTGTGTTATGAAACTATAGAAAAAAATTAGAATATCCACTATGACTGAAAGATTTTTGACCATCAGAAATTTTTAAACAGTGAATTAATGCCTAAGTGAATTCAGGATCACATATTGGTTAAAATGTTACTTTATCATACTGGAAGTTATATGACTACCAGTGGGACACACCTGTTTTACAAGGATAAAAAAAAATAAAACAGGTATGTCCAATTGGTAGTCATATAACTTCCAGTATGATAAAGTAACATTTTATATATATACATAAGTATGTATATATACATCTGATGATAATGATCATAATGATGAAATGTTCATAGCCTTAAAACACATTCCAGAATCCAGGGATGACATTTGTTTTGTTTTTTTTTTGTTGTTTTTTTTTTTTTTTTTTTTTTTTTTTTAATTTTTTTTTCAACGTTTATTTATTTTTGGGACAGAGAGAGACAGAGCATGAACGGGGGAGGGGCAGAGTGAGAGGGAGACACAGAATCGGAAACAGGCTCCAGGCTCCGAGCCATCAGCCCAGAGCCTGACGCGGGGCTCGAACTCACGGACCGCGAGATCGTGACCTGGCTGAAGTCGGACGCTTAACCGACTGCGCCACCCAGGCGCCCCTCCAGGGATGACATTTGTATCTTCACTACCGATTACTGATAAAATTCATTTCTGAAACATAAAGAAGCATTTTTCTTTCATGGGACTGTTTTTAATCATAATTTCCATGCAGTGTTGAGCAAAAAGAAAGAACACTAAACTCTTACAAGCAGAAAACAGATTAAGAGCTCCTCAACTTCCGTCTGCCTCTGCCACCACCCATTCACACACACACACACACACACACACACACACACACACACACACACAAAACACACACTACATATGTGAATGGCTTAGGTCCAGTTACATTACTTTTCTGGGCTTTGGATTCTCCCATTTAATAAAGGTCAAGATAAATGAACTCTAACTCATAAATGTCTTATAAGAACAATTCAGACTTTGTAGGTATTATCTTTAAGTAATCATATAAGTGAAAGGTATAAATACTGTTTTTATTGACAATGGAACATATTTCTCTTTAGACATAAATGCTCAACTTTCTATGGATTAACATTCACCTGTTATATTTTATTTTCCCATGATAGCTTTATACTTGCTTAAGTATGTTGAAAACATACTGTCAGTCCACTGAGATAAAAAGACAGAATTCCTTCCTACTTCCACTGTTATCTCATTTTCATTTTCATGTAGACACCTCAAGCACTAACTCTCAGTCATGAATATTCAATTAGTATATTTTAAATGAATGAATACAACTTGACTCAATGCTCCATAAACGCTTTAAGCGAAGGACAAATTCCACATTGATACTATTCTGTGCAATGGTTTCATCAAGCAAAAATTGTGTGGTAATTTCCACCCAGGATGTTGGCAGACAAAATCCATGTATAACTTGACTTAAACTAGTACTCCCTATGACAGAAAATACATTAAAAGATAAACTACACTTTACTATTTGGTCATTTAGTTAATCATATTTGTGACATGTGCATTATGCATAAGCACAAACAATTGTGAAAAGGCAATTACCTTTAAGAAACATAATCTAATATAAGAGAAGCCATGGACACGTGTATTTACAACAACAATAAAAATAGAATGTGAACATTTTCATATATAAAACAAACTTTTAAAAGAAATTGACAGAAAATATCCCTTTATATAAAAAGTTAACCATAAGCATTTGGGAAGATGATTTTTTTTCTCAGTGAGATCTTAATAAATAGAGGAAGGAGAAATAATTATTGGAAATTATTTTGGAAGAAAAACATGAACAGTAATTGGAAAGTGTAAATCATTCTTGTAGGATGTAGGTAGTTACATGAAACTGACAAAGTTGGAAAAAAAAAAAAAGATTTAGATTCTAGAGCACCAGGTTTATAACACAGGTTACACTGACTTACAGAAATCCCAAACACAAGTGGGAATAGGCCAGATTTGTGCTTAGGGAGGACTGTGTGGCTTTCAATGGGCAAGAGACTTGTTTTGGAAAGTCTTGTTTGAAGGTGAGATCAGTTAAAAGACTGTAAGGTGTATGCACTTGGGCAATGAAGAGGGCCAATCTTTCAGTCCCTCGGCCAGGCAATCAGCGAGTCAAGATATAAGGAAGCCAGGCACCCTGTTGAGTACTGGTGCCATAGTGGTAGACAAAGAGGTAAAGAAGACAAGTATTAAACTAACACGCATAGAAACAAGTGCTTACTTTATATTGCAACGCTAAGGAATGTTTCAGCTGACTTAGGGGATATTGACAAAAATAAGAATGTAAGAATGATGAGGCATTTTTAAGGGAGTTTAGCTTCTTTGTGTTGAATTTGAGGCACTGCCAAGGAAATTGAGGTGAAAGTGTCTTCCAGGTCCTGGGGAGGAGTTTATACCTAGGCTACAGCTGCGTTTGTCAGCTGCATAAAGACAACAGTTGAATCTATTGAACAGATGTGCCAACTACAACAAAGATGACTAGAAGACAAAAAAATGGTGAAAATACGATGGGTATTTAAACGATGATTAAACTGGTAAGTACTTTACTTATGAACTTCTTTTTCCTAAGTCCACTGTACAAAAAGTTATGTTCATTGGGAATAAACTGATTTTTTCCATTTATGAAATTGTAGGTTCAATACAAGTAGGACTTTCAATCTAAGAAAGAGAAATAATACTATGGATGAAAGAAAAATTTAAAAATTTATTATATCTCCTGATTATAGAACAGCTTATACTATAAAACAAGTCGTATAACACAAAAGAATCTGTGAACAACAAATCAGCAACTGGTTGGGAGTCACATAAAACTTCTTTTCAAACATCTCAAATAAATAAATATGCCACATTTTCTTAGAAGAATCCTCTGGTTGCAAAATGGAATTTGTTATTTCTACAAGGATCCCCCCACCCAGCCTTTGGACAAAGATTAACGTCCTGTAACATCCAGAACTATGAAAACTTTGTTTAACTTTTGCTTTTGTCATTACACTGTCTTTTTTGTGAGGAGAGATAAACAACTAACTCAAAAGGGAATTTCCTTTAGAAGAACATTTAAAATATTTATTTATTATATGATTCTTTTCTACAAAGAACACTTAATTAATTATTGACATCTCATAGCTGTTCACTGTAAACCAAACCCACAGAATTTTTTAATGTATGCAGAATATTAGTGTATAGTACTATTTCCTGAAAACCGCAGTGCAAAAAAATGAAAACTGTTGGATGCTGGATAAGTTATCCACCCATAGATAACAAAAAAGAAATTTTTCACATTGAATTCTATCAACATTGTCAGCTCCTATAGAATCGAAATCAGGTCACAAAATAACGTAAGTAAAAGGAATGTTCTCTTACTCTTAATGAGAAGGTAAAGAGCACATATTGTCCTTTATATAATTATATAAAAGGAAACAGAAATAAAAGAGATGAATGAAAGATGGCAGGACTTTTTTTCTGCAGTTTACAGATACAATCCCTGATTTCATCAATCATCCCAAAGAAAACTAAGATAAGCTTGAACATTCAGAAAAACAAAATCTACTTCACTATTAACATTTTTCTGTGTCCCTAATAAACTTGTTTCCTGACATTTTATTCTAGTGGGATAACCTTCTGTTCTTTTTGTAGAAAACTATTTATGTATTTTGAGGAAAAACAACTGAAGAAACTAAAATTGGGATCAGTTTTACCACCACAAAATAGGCACCATCAAGATTTATTTGTTACGTATCTGACATTAAAAAAATACAGATGTAATATAAGATACTCAAAAAAATCTAACGTTTAGCTTACCAGTGGGGACAGAATTGGAGTGTTGAAGTTCGAATTGACTAGAATCCTCAGAGAGTTCAGTCAAACAGGTTAAAGTAAATTCTGGGTTGGAAGCATGCTCATGTCTGAAGCCTTCAGGAGAAAGATAATCCAGTTCAAACTTCACAGTTGACATTGCAAAATTCTTAAAGAGCTATGTAAGTCAAAGTTCACACTAACTGAAGTTTTAAAGATCATAGGAGACAGAAAAAAAAAATCACTGTATTATAATCAGTAGTAACTCCAGACTTTCCGGTGATTATTCATTCTCACTTGGAAATCCAAAAGAGATAAAACATGCAGAGCTGAGTCTCTAAGTTTTCTGTATTCATGCCTTTGCTAGGCAATTGACTTCAATAGGATGGATGGAATTTAGAGTTGTTCTTCTGGAAGATGTCTTGCTGCCTTAAAATGATAGCAGCACTAATTCCATCTCAGAGAGGCTTCAGGGAAAACTAAGATGGGCTAAGTGAAGACATAGGCAAGGCTGCAGAGAGATGCTTTCAGTAACGTATTGGAAGTTCTCACTCACATTTCTGTATACAAAAGATCAGCTGGGTGGGGTTAAGGAGTGTAAGAGAATGAAACTTTTTTTTCCACTGGGCAGTTCATCAGAGGAATGTTTTAATTTGGAAGGAAATTAATCCTAAGTGATATTTCCAGGGTCAGGGTTGTGAGACTATAGTTCCGATGCTTGTTGAAAGATGACTATGATTGTGGAGATTAACAGGTAAATTAAACTAAAAAGCTTCTGCACAGCAAAGAAACAATCAAGAAAATGAAAAGAGAACCTACAGAATGGAAGAAAATGTTTGCAAGTAAATTATCTGATATCCAAGTATTCAAAAATTATAAGGGACTCATACAACTCAGTAGCAATAATAATAATAGTAATAGTAATAATAATAATAATAATAATTCAATTATTTTAAATGGGCAAGCAACTTTTTCATCTTCCAAAGAAGACATACAAATGTCCATTAGGTACATGAAAAGGACTGATCATCATGGAAATGCAAATCAAAACCAAGTGAAAGATCACCTCATACTGGTTAGAATGGCTATCATCAAAAACACAAGAAATAACAAGGATCGGCAGAGATGTGGAAAAAAAGGGACACTTACACACTGTTGGTGGGAATGTAAATTGGCACAGCCACTATAAACACTAAGGATGTTCTTCAAAGAATTAAAATAAAACTACCATATGATCCAGCATTCCCACTTCCGGGTATATATCAAAATGAAATGAAATCACTGTCTCAAAGAGATATCTGCACCCTTTGTTCACTGGAGCATTATTCACAATACTCAAGGCATGGAAGCTATCTAAGTGTTTATTAACATGATAAAGAATGATATTGACAGGGTGAATGATAAAGAAAATGTGATATACAGTGGGGTATTTTCAGCCATAAAAAAAGGAAACCCTACCACTTGTGACATGGAAGAAACTTGAGGGTGCTATGCTAAGTGAGATAAGTCAAAGAAAAGACAAATACTGCATGATCTCATGTATATATGGAATCCAGAAAAGCTGAACTTGCGGAAACAGAGAGTAGACTGGTGGTTGCCAGGGGCTGGGGTGGGAGAAATGGGAGATGTTGGTCAAAAGGTACAAACTTCCAGTTATAAGGTAGGTAAAATACAGGAATCTAATATATGGCAGGGTGACTATAGTTAACAATACTGTATTGTATACTCGAAAGTTGCTAAGAAAGTACATTTTAAATGTTCTCACCACCAAAAAAAAAAAAAAAAAAAAAAAAAAAAAAAAAAGAAAGAAAGAATAGGATAACTGTGAGGTGAAGTATGTGTTAATGGGCCTTATTGTGGTAATCATTATGCAACATATGCATGCATGTATCAAATAATCACATTATAGACCGTGAACTTACACAATGCATATATATACACATATGCATTATCAAATGATCACAATATACACCTTAAACTTACACAATGTTATATGTAATTAATTTCAATAAAGTATAGAAAAGAATATGTTTAAAAATTATGGTCAAATAAAATATACAGCTTGAGAAACATAAGATCGATATCATAATATGAGCAGGTGATCAGGAAGAGCAAATGCTAAAAAGGTAGGGATTAAGGAGGCTGACACTGTTGTACTCTTTAAGAAGTAAAACATCTTATCCCTCTCAGCTGGGCAGAAGCTTGTGTTGGTCACCTTAGAAAATTTAATTTAGGATCTCACTTTTACTCATCTTATGTCCTTGAGTCCATGAATCCCATGATGACCACCACCACGATGACAGCCTGTCAAGGAGTTGTTTAACAAAAGTCATCCTTCAGTTTAGGGAGTCAAACTAGATGAAGTTCTGATTAGTTCTTTGATGGTCTGTTTTCATCCCTTATTTGTGCATTAATTTATTTCCTCATTCAAGTGACTATTTACTGACCCTGTATTAGGTATTAATTTAGACACGACAATGTTAATATAGGTTCAATGAAAAGAATTTGGGCTGAATCTGGTCTCGGTGGGAAAGAGAGCTGTGATTGACTGGGATTTTAATTATTACCATAGTATTAGTTACGGCAATAGATGTACTACACCTGAAGAATGCATATTTGAAACAATGTTACCTTCTTTGTCCAGCACTCTTTGAAAAAGTAAAATATATATAAGAGGTTTGTAAATTCATTGTTATTACAATATAAAAAGTATTCTGGACAAAAAGTGGCATGTCTTACTTATCATTATAATTGAACAAACAAGGAAAGAAATTGGTGTCTCTGTTCCATGTACCTTTAAAAACTATTGCTCATGGCCTGGGAATGACTGTCATTCTCACAGCATGAACAACAAACAAAATATGGTATTCAAGCCCATTCTGGAACAGTCATGAAAAATCTGACTAAAATGGCAAATATGACCAGCTTTTATTGGTAATTATAAGAAGGTAAAAGCATAATCAAAGTTACAAACAATATCAGCAAAATACTATCATTGCTTAAAATAAATATGAAAGTATCAGTACATATTTTGAATCCCTGAAAAAGTGCTTTCATAGTAATAAAGATTCTTACTTGTCTCCCTACTACCTATGGAGTCTGTGTTAAAGCTTCTAGAAAAGAACACGTTGGCCAGTAGTGAGAAGATGAGTTGAGGAAAAGAGGCTGATAGGAAAAAGAAAAGCAAACACAAGGAAATTAATAAAGGGTAAAAAAAAGTGTATACACAACTTAAAGAAAAAAAAAGTAGATTCCAAAATTATGGAAGATGGGCTTTATCATTCTTAGTTGAAATATCTCTTCGGTATTTGGTAGGAGGGTACTTTCTGAAAGACAGAGTCTAAATGGTTTGAATTAAGAGCTGCTCAAGTATGTTTAAGTACTAGATAATTTCTACCCTCTATACTTTTGATAAGTTTGACCAAATCCCAAAGTGTTTCCTCTTTCAAGCAATGATTTGAAGGGTGTGGTTACATGGAAATGTGATTAGGCATGAGAGCTGCAGTAAAATCACCTCATTAATGACTTCCAGTAAGACCCTGAGGGGATGATATCTGAGGTTACAGTATAATCTCATTCTCGCTATCAGTAGTCCTTAGTTTTTGGGTATGACATCTTGAACTAAAAGAGAATCTAATTATATATAAACATATATAAATAGTTACCCCATCTCTTTGTATTCATACTGTTGTATTTTGCATATCGATGTATGACATATTGATATATGATATATATGAGCATATAAAACTACTTGAAATTCGCTAGCATTAAAATATGTTATTAACTACATCTACATACCTTTGAAAAGTCATTCATGTATGTGTGAGAAATGTTACTGATTTGCTGTAAGACATCTGTAAATACACAGGTGGATTTGTAAATCCCATATAGTAACTTGATATGACATATATTCATACACTGGAAATTACTGTTCTCTAGTATGTAAAAAAATAAAGTTTTACTTCTTTGTGTAACATAGATAATCAGACTTTGTCAATAAACTCACTTCATTGTCCTTTTCCACTAGTAACCTAGGTAAAAACATCTCCTGAGGCCTCCAGAAATGTTGGTAATAAAGAACCTTAAGTTAATGTGAATACTCAAGAATTGGACAGCTCGGCAGTTTCCTATTCCTGAGCCTTTGGTCGGAAACTCTTAAGTTCCACCCAGCGTGTGTAGACTCCAAGTCTTTCTATTTTTTTTTTGTCTATAAGCACTTTATTCCCTCCCCTCTCCACAAATTTTACTGAGATATAATTGGCATATAGCATTGTGTGAGATGGAGGTATTATCTTAACTTCATTATAAGCTTCAAGTTTTTAGTGAAGTGTTTTCCATGATATCTTAGCTAATACTTTTATGTGTAACAGTTTTCCATAAATCTTAGAAAATATCCATGTACACCTTTTACTCATATTATCTTCCTAAAACCTAGAGCATGTCCTTCTCCCCACCCCCCTACCTCCTTAGAGCACAAACAGGAGATGGCAGGAAATGCCACACAGAAAACTCATTCTTTTTTGATTGGTCCAGCTGCAAATATTTTTTCTCTCAATCTGGATCAGTTTGTCTCAGTTGCTATAGTAACTACTCACTTACTAGTGGTTACAGTAAATTTCAGATCTTTGGTCCTTCATTCATTTCAAAACATTAACTGTATTTGCAAACCTTGTTCTCAGCTATACTTAATTTTGGTATAATTTATCTCGGGTTCTCTTAATAGGCCAAACTATTTTAATCTTAAAAATGGCTAAACTTATTGTGAATAATTGTAATTTTAACTGCATCATAAAACCACATTTTTAAAAAAAGTATAAGAAGCTTGTTTTTTTTACAGTTTTCAATATATTTTCAAGTTCGTAAATAAACAATTGTTAGCAATGTCAGACAATAGATTTTTGTTATCTCAGATGCTCTGCTCTTTCAAACATTGTGTGAAGCAATTCACTAGCCGTACTTTTATTATTTTTCTGGTTTCAGAATGACTCTTTGAGGCCACAAGTTTACTCATTATCCCTTCTATTGAGGTAGCCATTGAACTAACTGAATAAATTACCATAGAAAATTATTGAACTAACTGAATTAATTTTAAAAATCTACCAATAGCAAAAGAGTAAACTATAAGAAAATTTGAGGAAATCCTGGAATATATGGTGGAGG